TTTCAAAAGGTTTGCATAGATTCGATCCATGAAAATAACATTTAAAAAGTAAGATAACGACTGTCCACTTCTATTCTTTAATTTAAATTGGTTTTTGAGTTTTTATAGGCAGTCTCTTTTTTAAAACAATAAAAATTCCTCACCAGCTGGAAAAACTTTCTCTGTCCGTATCCTTCCATTTTGGAGCCGCCCTGACTTTTTCAGCCTTGGCTGGATTTTTTGTCACCGGCCTGAAGAACTTCTCTTGCTTCTTTCTAGGATTTTGCGATATCCCGAGGTCAGCAAGACGTATTCTTCCTTTTCACCGTCTCTTTGGGACGGCTTAGATCCGTTTGGACCACCCAGTGGCAAAAGTGTTGGCTGTGGTCTCAGAGCATTGAGACCACACAACCATCTCGTCGCGACATTGGCTCCTCCCTCTCAATTCATTTTACAACTCTGTCTTAATTACAAAAAATCCCAACCTTGTACGAACATTCCTGAAAACTTTCCCGGAAATCCAGTTCAAGTTTTGAATTGGGCCCTGGGAGCCTCTGAGATTATCTATTAATGCTCACACAGGTAATCCTTGTTTTAGCAACTGCCTCATTCCATGACTGTTCACAGTTATGATGAAACAATAATGGCGAATCTATGTCACGCAGAGCCATTTGTCAGGGCACACAAGGCTTGCCCTGTCAGCTGGCCAATGCGCATGCACGCACTGGCCAGCTTACTTCGTCCTTCTTTTGAGGCCATTTTTCGCCCTCCGGAGGCTTCAGGATCTTCCCTAAAGCCTCCGGAGCATGAAAAACCAGCTCTAAGGACAAACTAGAAGTTCGGGGAACGGACTTTCGGTTTGCTCATATGGCTGGTTTTAGCCCTCTGGAGTGTTCAGGAACCCTCAGGAAGCTTTCCTGAAGGCTCTTGAGGGCAAAAAATGACATTACAAGCAGACAGGAAGTCACTTCTGGGTTGCTCATAGGGCCGGTTTTAGCCCTCCGGAGCCTTCAGGGAAGCTCCTGAAGCCTCCAGAGGGCCTGTGGGGGGGCTGTTTTTACCTTTTCCAGGCTCCTATAACGCCTCTGAAGCCTGGGAAAGGTGAAAAAAACACGCCAAAAATGGGGGGGGGGAGTGCTGGTCGTGCGCATAGCATTATGGGTGTGGCACACCCGCATACGACCCCCCTGCATTCCCCCCACTTTTGGCATGCGAGCCAAAAAAAGTTTGCCATTACTGACCTATACTTTTGGTCCTGTCCCCTGATTTATATTACCTAAAATAATGTTATATAAGGAAGAAGAAAAAAGAAAGGGACCCCCCCCTCCCTCATTGGCCCAGTATGTGAAAACAAAGATATTTTGGGCAGGTTTTTTTCTTCTTCTATCTCAGCTGGCCATTTCCACATGCCTGCTGCCTTCATTGGAAGATAAAAGAACTAAAGGAAAAAAGCCTTAACAGAGATAGAATCTCTCTTGTTCTATAGTGAGAAAAGGCTTTATTGTTATCCTAAAAAAAAACACCTTTCAATTTTTTATTTCTCTTTTTCTCTTGGACACTCATCCCTCCCTCACATATTGCTTATTTTCTGGTTTTATTAGTATCATCTTTTATTACAACAGTCAATCTTTTTTTCCCTTTTCCTATACAGTGTTTCCATGAAAATAAGGCAGGGTCTTTTGACCCCTGAAATAAGTGCTTGGCCTTATTTTTGGGGAGGTCTTATTCTTTTTGAGGTGCAGGAGGAGGCGAGTGTGGTCACCTCATGGCTGCTGCTGTGTTGCAATATTTTCAGGGAGGGCTTATTTTCGGAGTATAGCTTTTTTTTAGCGCATGTGCTCAAAAGCCCAAATGGGCTTATTATCTGGGGAGGTCTTATTTTCAGGGAAACAAGATAGATTAAAATGCACTTTTTTTTGAAAGTGGAAGGATTTACTGTCTCTGAGTAAAGGAAAATTTTCACCTCCTTTATTGCATGGCAACAGAAAGGAACTAATGTTCATTTGTGAAGCGCAAATTAGTCTTCCCCAATTATAACTTCTCAGAATTGTGTTTGACAGTTTCTCCCAGAACTTCTCAGCAACACCACCCAAGAAACTCGGAAACTGAAGCAAGAACAAATTAGGAAAATGGAACAAGGTTGTTTCTTTTGCCAAACTTTTATTTATTATTTACTCATTTTAAACATGACTACATTGCTTGCCATTAATAGAATTCTCATAGCAATTTACAATTAAACCATTTTTAACTGATAATTGCTTTAAGAAAACTGAATTTACTTTTTTACTTTTGATTTTAATTGCACTAATTTTATTGTCATTTTTATTTTGTATTCTAAAACTGTTAAAAGCTACCATGAATGTTTATAGAAATGGAAAAGGACAAAACCAAGGATAAATACAAATAAAAATAAACTGAGTGTAATCTGCATTTCTATTTTTACAACTATGTAAGCTCTCACTATCCTTACACTCTCAACTACCATCCAAACCCACATAAAATATAAGTTTTATTGAGCTTAGTTTATGCTGTTTTACATTAGTAAAATGCCACAATGCCTACAGCCACAGAGTAAAGAACAATGGATAATGACTGGATGACTTATTCTCAATAATGATAATAAAACCACAGACAAGTGTAAGACGAATGGCATATATTTTCTTGTTCAAATTTTGCAGTTGCAAAAATACATTTGAATACATTTTCAAGCCTCATAGTATAATTTTTATATTCCCTTTTCTCTCCTTGTCTCGTTTTTACATAAAAGAGATGGCTGATGGAATCATCTCTAGTATTCTAATCTTTGAGGGCAACAGATATTTCTAAGAAGATGTTTTTCTGAAATCTTATAACTTTTAACAGTGGTTCTCAACCTGTGGTCCGCAGATCCCTGGGAGGCTATGATGACCCGCGTCACAGAGGGTCAATGAAGATTTGAAGAAATGTTATGATTTAAATCTTGAGTTAAGTCTTGGTGGTCCATGGCCACAAAAGGTATTTAAAGGGGGTTGAGAACCACTGGCCTAGAAAATTTAGTGCTGCTTAGTATTGGATAAGAATAATTTTCTAAGATTAAAATAAACTTTCACCAACCAGTTTTAGAAAACACCCTACATATCTCAAAAATTCTCATTATAAACCCAAATATTGTGTATGTCAAGATGCTGTTGAAGAAGGAATAATTTCTAACTTAGGCACAGCTGCATATTATAAAAGAGCTCAAGCTGAAAGTAACTGAAAGTTCTCCCTGAGTAAACTCAATTTATATAAGGAACAAACATTTTACAGCTTTAGAGCCTAGCAAGTTCTCAGTAAAATTTTCACATGGCCGCAATATACTGTCAGAACTGAATAAAAAAACCCTGTCCTGATTGCGTGTCTAAAAAAGCATCACTAGAATACTGTAATTTTCTCTTTGGAGAAAACCAATAATAACATGTCCTTCAATGTCCAGTACAACTTAATATTGGCAATATTCCCTCCTGGCTAATGTATTCAATCTAGCATTTCCATCTTATGATTGACTTTCTGGCTGANCCCTAACCCTAACCCTAACCCTTACTTTAACCTAAATCACGCTTTTGTGGGTGCGGTTTTGTCGGCGCATTTATGATGTTGCGGTTTTTGCGCCGGGGTTTCATCGGCGCGCTTTTGTTGTGCGTGCATTTGTCGGGTCACGGGATTCCACTACTTAAGGCAAACATAGCTAGAAAGCTATAACTATATGTCCCCTGCCTATCTGAAAATCACCCAGTATTTTGAACCAAAAGGCACATCTGAAATTTTGAGAGCATACCATGATCACAAAGGACTTTTCTACCATACAATTAGAAGTAGTATTCTGCCAGTTCGCTCCCATTCGGGAGGCTCTACCCACCCGCCCAGACGTCATCACGGATGCTCTGCGTATGAGCAGAAGGTTCTGCACTTGCACCGAAGTGCCGTGTGTGAGCGCTCCCGGTTCCAAACCGGTAGCAGAAATAAGAGAATTTCATGCCTGCATACAATACAGTAACTGCTGTCTGCATGGCAAAACTGTTAGGATCATAAAGAGACCTACCCTATGAGAAATGGAGATTTACCCTATGAGGAATGAAGACCTACCCCATGAGGAATGGTTAAAGGAACTGACCAGGTTTAGGTTACAAAACAGAAGATGGAGAGATGAAAACTGTGTGCGTGTGAGAGTGCATATGTATGTATTAAATTCAGTCAACTTTGACTCTTGGTAACTACATGGATACGTCCCTGGTATTATCTAGGCAACATTTTGATAAATGGCTTGCCATTATTGTCTCAGTAGGGCTAAAATCTAATGATTGGCACAACATCACTATCCAAGGCTGGTCCCTATAAATATATAAAAAAGGAAAAGCAGGAAGAGGAACTTTGTTTTCTGCTTAAAGTAAAGGAAGAACAAGGACCAAGGGTTGAAATTAAAGGAGATGCAGGGTGAATATTATGAGGAATTTTTCCACATTAAGAACTTCATTGCAAAGGAACCGTCCTTCTAAAGTTAAACTCTTTCTCACAGGTGATTTTCAAAAGGGGGTTAAGTTTTGAAACTAAAACTAAGTTGGGATGGTTTAATGGATTTGTGCACTGAGCAGAGGCTTACATCTCACTTCTGAAAAACTCTTACAATAGATATATTTTGCAATTTTAAATTTTAACAAATGGAATACAATAAATGAGGCAGCACAAAAAGCTGACAGATGCTATTGGACTCACTTGTGCTTATGTGACTCAGTTTACAATCCAGTGCTCAAGTATTTGGCTGAAAAGATGGACTCTGTAGTGGGACTTCCACTTTCCATAGCTCTGGATCCTGACTGATATGTTTTCAGGAAGTTTGGAGACCACTCTGGCCTTTGAATTATATTTGGCTCACAATCCCTGGTGCAGGTGTTCCTTCCTATACTAATTTTGTCTCTGGGTTTTACATGCATGCAGAGTAAAAAGAAAATGGCACTATTAGAAAAACAAAAGCATATTCAGTAACATCTGGGACTAATGAGACCAGAGTTAATAGACTGTGAGCATATCCTTTTCTATCAGGGTAGATTTTATGTTATGCATCTTATATCTGATGCAGAAAGTACAGAAAATATCCAAATGTTGCCACAAGGAGTTAAGATTAAATCAATATCCTTGCTGTTGCTATTGAAATGGTAGACACATGGCTTTCCGTAGGCAAGTTCATCCATATATAAGACAAACTGCTGAACAGGTGGAAAATTCAACCTTCATCTCTGTTGTTTGCAACATAAAGGACATTTTCTTGCCTGTGCTCAGGCAATCTCCCCCTCATTTTAATCATGTACTGCATATCCCTCTGGGAAAACTCAGGAAGAGGTTCATACTCATTTGCAAAGATTTATAATGGTACTGGGATATCAGACCAGTCTTATAAAAGTCAAAATCCCACTCCAGGGCACACACACACACAAAAGAGAAAGGCACATACAAGCAAACACTTGTCTTTCTCATCAAGAAATTCTGGTTGAACAGGGACAGTAATAATCCAGAAAAAAAAATTCTTGTGAAAATAATCATCCTTCACTTTTGGGTTCATAGGGGAAAACAGAGAAACAGCCATTTCAAAGCAACGGGACACAGTATTTGGGCTAGGTACAACTGAAATCCTGTAAGAATAGAACCTGAGGTGAGAGGATTGTTAGAAATGCAGTCATCAATAATATTCTCATCATCCTGTCTATGGAGATTCTCAGTCATCCAGATCCTGGTTGTCCCAAAGGTGCTTTTTCAAGAGGCAACTGGATTTTCTTGGTTTTCTTTACAGACATTTTGCTTCTCATCCAAGAAGTGAAATGTCTGCGAAGAAAAACAAGAAAGCTCCGTTGCCTCTTGAAAAAGCTTTAGGGCATCCTGATCAGTGGTGGGTTCCTACCGGTTCAGACCACTGCACATGCATGTGCAGTGCACATCAAGTGCACGCGTGCAGCACGCACCCGAGTGAATTGGCAGTAGTGCCTGCCAGAACCCACTCCTGATTCTGATCATCAGCTACTCAAGGAAGTTCCATCTAGCTCTACCCACAGCAATAAAAGAGAAAAACTTTAGTCTATAAATTACAGAGAGTCACAAAGAGAAGGTAGAAGAAGAAAACTTAATCCATCCATTTCGAAAGGTTTGCATAGATTCGATTTATGAAAATAACATTTAAAAAGTAAGATAACCACTGTCCAAAAGCATTCCAAATTTAATTCCGTT